GTGGCCAGTGCACTCTGCTTGCCTGTGTGTGCCCCACATATTTCATGCAACCTGGAGCATGTGAGTGGCTCTTCTGTGCTGTCTGTGAGGTGGGGATAATAGACGTTTCTCCCTTCTCCCTAGTATTTCTTTATTATGGAATGTAATGAGTGAAGCCATCTGTAGTCATGGCAGCCGTGATTGGCATAGGTGGTAGGCATCCCAGGAAGGTTAGCTTTCATTCTCATTCTGACTTTCTCTTTAGAAAACCCTAGTTTTCTATTTGATTATTTTTACCTTTAAGGTACTTTTATGAATTTGTGCATGTGTGTGCACGTGCGTGGGGGTGGGGTGGGGTGTTTAGGTGTTGTTACAGAACAGAAATGGATTCTGGCTCACCCAAACATAAAGAAAGCAACTTTCCTGGAAAGTTAATGGAGTAGCCACCAAATGGAGGGAACAGTGGGAGGAGTGGACTTCTAGCAGTGGACTGGTATTTGCAGCATGTGAGTATGTGGGGGTTTTCAGAAAGGACAGCTGCAGGACCGTGCCAGTGCCACCGGTACAGGTGGCAGAAGTTATCAGCCATCTTATTAGAGCTATACAGCTGCCCACAAGAGAGAGGATCTGATTCACCTGGGGCAGGGGGACACTGAGTCCAGTTATTTCCTAGAGGCAGGACTGTCCTTTTGAGCTGTGGTCTCATTAAAGCCGTGGCAATGAAGGTGCAGTATTCCTCAAAACACAGTCAGGATTTGTTATTAGGGAGAAGGACAAGCAGTGGCCAGAGGGCCCCACCCAACACACATTCACTATGATCCTGGTATATGCATTTTAACTATTTTTTGAACAGAAATAAAGGCATAAATAAATAAACAAGATCACCAGCACTTAATTGTGCAAAAGAAACTGCTGTAAAACTCAGGAGATCTGGGCTGTGGGTGCAGCTCTACTGCGGTGATCTGGATTTGCCTCTTCCTAAGGTGATGGGGTGAGCAGCACAAGGCCCCTAAGGGTTGTTGTAACGGTAAAGTCCTACAGTTCTCTGTCCTTTCCATGTGGGAACCTCGAGTGCTTTCACACAGATAGACACACACGCTATAGTCCACTCTTCAAACTCAAGTGATCCATGGGAATTTATATGCAAGGAAAAGCCAGGGGCGGGGAAGCGGTAGCCTCGAGGCCCCATGTGACCCTCCAGGTCCCCAGGGGCTGCCCCTGTACTAAACCCAAACTTCACAGAACAGATCCTTGTAATAAAAAGGGTTTGTTCTGTGAAACTGGATTCAGTCAAAAGGCTGCACTCAAGGATCCAAAAAGCCATATGGAACCCCAAGTCTGAACTTTAAGCAGTGAAGGTAGACTCAAAATACCTTAGTGGTAATTGTTGTTACTGTTCCAGTTTCTATTAAGGCAAGGAAGGTAAGATGCATCTTGGAAGGGAAGCTAAAACTCGGCAGGTTTCTAAATTTACAAAAAGGTAGTGTGTCATTATATTAGAATACAAATTAATTTCAGTTTAAATGGAATGAATTAGAATAGTTTTTCATTTCTACAGTTCTTCAATAACTAGGGGACTATTGACTATTTCTTATTATTTACTGGAAAGAATATTTTATATTAGCTCTAAGCTGTTGTATATTCTTTAATAGTTTAGGTATAAACTGCTAGAAACATCTCATTTTTGATTTCTATTAAATGTCTTCTTCTCCAGTGTAGATGAGCAAAGTCTTACAATGTGTGCTTATGGTGACATGAAGGATTAGTTTGGATGACTCCAAAAATACAACTTGTGTTTTATGGTGGTTGTGTGTTTTTTTTGTTTTTTTTTTTGAGACAGAGCCTCAAGCTGTCCCCCTGGGGAGAGTGCTGTGGCATTATAGCTCACAGCAACCTCCAACTCCTGGGCTCAAGCGAGTCTCCTGCCTCTGCCTCCCAAGTAGCTGGGACCACAGGCGCCTGCCACAATGCCTGGCTATTTTTTTTTTTTGGTTGCAGCCGTCATTGTTGTTTGGCGGATCTGGGCTGGGGATTCGAACCCGCCACCTTAGGTGTATGTGGCTGGCGCCTTAGCCGGTTGAGCTACAGGCGCCGAGCCGGTGGTTGTGTTTTAAGCACTGTTTACTTTGTAAAATGCGTCACCCTGAATTACCAAATAAAAACAATAATCAAATCTGTCTTGATTACTATGAGAGTATAACTGCTATGTTTCATTGTTTTCTAACTAACGTTTGGTTTTCTTTAAAGTATTAGTCTGAATTAAATGACCAATTAAAAACAGTAATCAGATCTTCCTTTATTACTGTCATTAAGTATAAAGATGTTATATAGTATGGCTCTATTTTGAGCAAACAAGTTGTATAATTTGCAGTCATTTCAAAATGCGTGAGGTTAATTATGGCTTTTACCTGAAAACTTCCTTGAGTCACAATGCCAAGAGTGGTTGTTACCCTATTTAGTGAGACGAGATGTACTGTCTGCAATTGTAACCAACAGAGAGAATGAGGAGCAAGGCCTATTAACAGAAAGAGCACTAATGTAAGCTTTTAAACTCAAATGTATGAGCAAGACCCTGTCTCTACTAAAAATAGAAAAACTAGCTGGGTATGGTGGCAGGTGCCTATAGTCCCACTACTCAGGAGGTGGAGTAAGAGGATCGCTGGAGCCCAAGAGTTTGTGGTTGCTGTGAGCTATGATGCCACAGCACTCTACCCTAGTGTGACAGAGTGAGACTCTGTCTCAAAATAAAAATATAAACTCAAATATAGACAGAATTTCTAAAAAAACCCTTGAATTGTGGGAAATAATTCAAGGGATTTTGGTTGTTATATAGAAAATATATTATTTTATCTTTATCATTCAAAGTATGACTGATAACCGACATATGTATAGCTGTTAGGAAATTACAGAAGTATGGAGAGGAGTACTAGGTGAGACTGTTTACCAATCAAACATATCCTGACCATTGTAGCCATCTTAAAAATAACATTTATATAAACATTGACTATGGGAAAGGTTAAGTCGCTCTCTAGTACTGTGAGAAGAAATCAGAATAATAATTCCTAGTAGAATGTAGAGGAGGAGGAGGAGGGGGAGATTATAACTCAGTATTCAACGAGTATGCCAGGCCTTGTATGCATTTCTCTGTATAAATGAGCTCATTTCCACCTTGCACGTTCCCAGGACATAGGAACTCTTGGTATTCCCATTTCATAGGTGAGGGAACAAGGCACACAGAAGTAACTTGTAAGAGTCACAGCTAATAAGAGTCAGCATGGGATTCAGGCTTCCTCCACAGTCCATGCTCTAACCACTACTCTGTATTGTCTCTGTAAGAAGAGAAAATAATATACACATGTATAATTTCACCTAGTCGTCAGATATTTTTAACAGGCTATTGTCAAAGTTTTGTTATTACTGGTTACTTTTTGGCTGCTTGCTCACCCTATATACCTGGTTGAAAATTCCCATGTTGAAGAGATTGATATTTTTATAAACCCATAAGGAAAAAATGATTAGCTGTTCTAAGTTTGAGTTCATTAATATAATCTTAATCTCCTTGGTAACAGAGACCATGGTTTTTCCTACTGCTGCTACTCTGCGGTAGCTAATACTATGGTGTATGTATAATATTTAGACACTAAATCTATATTGTAACTTACCTTTGCAGAATTGCCACTAATGGAATATGGCGTTCAAATATGACCTATTAAAAGATGCCAATATGTCAGTAAAAGTTGACCTGATTCTATAGATTATGCAATTCAAAATCAAATTGAGATTACAAGGATTCTATTCAACATAACAATTGTAGAATTAATTGGTGTGTAATTGTCTTATGACATCATAGCATTTATCATTGTTTGTTACTATAGTTATATACTCAGTGCACTATAAATATAACATTAATATAAACCTAACTCAAGGAGGAGAACAGAGGCCCAGAATAAGATGAAACTGTCTTTTATGAGTACTTTGAATTGTACCAAATTACTTAACTCTGGTTTTCTTTCATCAACTCTAGATTAAAGGTAATTAATGTGTCAACTCTTAGGATAATAAGAATTATAATAACTGAACGACAGTCACTTAGTAATATTTATGCTTTGATTAGTTGCTACATTTGTTTTCAAAAAGTGAACGTTTCTCCTGGGTCTGCTGTCTCCCTCCCTGAGGGTAACTGTTTACGTTTTGCCATCTTCCTTGTCAGTGTTCCGATTTTCTGACACAGGTAACATTTATACAGGACACGTGCTTTAAAAAGGTTCTCTTCCTTGAGATACACATTTTTGTTAAAAGGAAGAAACAAACTTGTATGGACTTTTCATTGTGTTGGCAACCAGAGTCAATCAAATATAAGTTACTTTTTTATTTATAATATATAAAGTCCTATGAAAATTTCAAAATCATAACTACCTAAAAATGTTGCTATTTCAGAGATGTGGTATTTTGAACCTCAGTGACACCTGAATTGATTTTATGGGCCACAAAATAACTGAGATACATACAGAGGCAACCAAATCAGAGAAATGAAATGTTCACTCTATATTTGTAATTTTTTCTTGCTGACACTTTAAAGCTACCTTAACGTGACACCCAGGTAAGTATGCATCTCTAAAAACATCTCACTGTTGCAGGGTCCGCCTAGGGTTTTGATTTTCTTATGAATGTTTTGTTTTCCTGCCACCCGGGTCCTTCCGAGTCACACCCTTGGTTGCTGTAGTAATATATCTTAGATACCGCAGTGTATATCGCTCCCTCGCTTAGCTACACTTCAGGTGTGGCTGCAGGGCTCTCATTATATCCTACTCTTTCTAACCATCTTATCAGTCTGCGACTTTCCTGACTCCGAGCAACACGCATGAGGTGTTGGAGAGGATGATTTGAGCTGAAGTGAAAACAAGCGGAGCCCAACACCACTTGGCTCCAGTCGCAGTCAGATTCAGGCGGTTCAGTTGTAAACCATGCAGCCTCCCGTGGTAAATATGACTGATTGCTCTTTTTTCTTACACCCTTTTAAGCAAAGTAAAGCAGCAGTTCGGCTGAAAGAAGACATGAAAAAGATAGTGGCAGTGCCATTCAACGAGCAGAGGGATTCTACCTGTAGGAAGTTATTTGGAGTCAGTCTCCAGGAACTCGAGCGGCAGGGTCTCACTGAGAACGGCGTCCCGGCCATCGTGTGGGACCTCGTGGAGTACCTGACACAGCATGGTAAGTGCAGGTGTGTTTTTTCTCTGTTTGTTCTCACAGTTCCTTGAAAAAAGAGAGTTTGTGCGAATTATTTGATAACATATGGTTAGAATATCCTCTAAAAGACCTTAATTAGAATATCAAATTGTTGTGTGATCTACTTTTCCCTTAGAAAAGGATATTACTGGTGCATACTTTCTTGACAATACTAATTGGATTAACCACAGAGTAATCACTTGAGATTTCTAATTTGGAATATTTTCTAGTTTTAATTGCTTAAATATGCTTACATGATACTGTTCTAATACTATTAATAATAATGAGTTCTCTCGATTAATTAAATTTCCACTGATAATCATTGATTTTTAATGTAATGGAGCACTTTGGGGATATCTCTTTCAGCATAGATCAGTCATGAACTTGATGCCTGGACGTATTCAGACATTCCTTAGGGATGCTAAAAAATTATGTGCTGAACCTTCTACTGGGATGTTATTTATTTTTGGAGTGATAAAGTTAAGCGTGTAAAGCATTTGCAGAATAACTTAGTACCATGCTCAATAAAAAGATGAATTAGATCTTTCTCAAGTATTGAGAGCTTGTAGGAACATCTTTTTAATAATGTTATTATGATTTTTATTTTACTTTTGAATTTTGCTTTCAATTGACTTTCAATTGTCATAGTTTGGTTTTTGTAATTTTCTTTTTTTTTTCCTTTTATTTATTTTTTTTATAGAGACAGAGTCTCACTATGTCACCCTGGGTAGAGTGGCAGGGCATCATAGCTCACAGCAACCTCCAACTCTTGGACTTAAGTGATCCTCTTGCCTCAGCCTCCCAAGTAGCTGGGACTGCAGGCACGGGCCACAATGCCCGACTTTTTTTTTTTTT